CTATTCTTGTTAAGGTCTCAAGAAGGACAAAACAGAAAAAATGCAGCCCAATATACTAAATCAAACAGCCCACAGGATATGATATTCAACTGCATCATGAAAAGGATTGAGCTGCTTTTGAATTGAGAATTACTTACTCCTTGTCTGGGCTCCCATATTCTCGGATAATACACTTCCAGTAGCAGATTGAGTAGCAGCAGGATCATCAATTTGTACCCCTAGCCTTCGAGGAAATGGAGCACGTATAGCAGGCTTGTTAGCACTACCCTCTGCAATCAGAAGACTGGTATTCTTGGGATAATTGGTGCTTCGAAAATGCTGTGCAGAATTAACCTTGTAAGGAGAAGATACATGGCCTGCAGAAGAATAGTAGCAAGTAAATGCTTACCATGAAATTTGCTCACTTCATTGTGCTAGTTAATTCAAGGATAGCAGATGAAAAATATTGGTCCATTTTGCTGTTAATTGATTCTATATGAGGGGAAAAACATTTAGTTTAAGCACTATCAGACCATACACTATCGGAAACTCCACAAATTTTCCTCTAGTTCCCAAGGCCCAAACTTAACAAGTTCAGTACATTGTAGAAGTCATGATCACAATCACTTTAATTGGACATACAATAGATCAGGTACGGCCGAGTAAAATAATAAATGAACACTTCCGGTGTGAGATACCACGGCCATAATCACTTGAAGAAATTTTATTTAAAGGAATGAAACTACTTAGAGATAATCTCATTTCCATCCAAATTGAACTAGGCTACAAAATAATGTTAAAGAACTAACAGAAAAGTAGATCAGGCCATTGTGTTTATGTGAACATGTTCTTGATATCTGACAAAAGCTTTTCCTTTTTCTCCTAATTGGCAGAAAAATGGTAATGCCAAAGGAGTTTCAAAAGCTTCTTAAACAAAGAATTGCTTATAAAATGCAAAGTAGTTGGTATGTAAGGAGTTTGTGCATTTGTATGTGATGCAAATACGCATAAATGAGATGCACTCACCATCTGGCTGACCACTGGCACACTGATCACCACTTCCAACAGCTTGAGTTCCACAACCCTCTGATGGAAGCACTGAAATTCCTGAAGTTGAGGTTCACAGATTGTTCTAAGTGATAATGGCTATACTAACACAAGCTAACATTTTTTGCTTCTCTGTCTCAGGTGTGGAACAGCAAAAATCAAAATCAATTCCAACTCTCATTACCTTATAAATCTTTACTAATTGGCAAATTTCTACGTAGTCTACAACCCAAATTACAGATAAGCTTACACTCAATGCAATAAGAAAAGTTGTCATGCTGCTAGAGAATTCACAACAACAGTGAATGTACGCATGTATCACTTTGGGCACTTGTATGAAAAGCTTCCATCTCAGTCCAAGGAAATTGCCTGCCATCGATTGTGACTTTATCCATATACTAGTTTTGTCATAAAAAAGGGGAAACAATTCCTCCTTTTTTCTAAAGAAGTAAATTAAAAATTATGGACCTTTGTGCAACCACAATTTGGTCATTCAAGACATAAAGAAACTTAGACAGCTTTGATGACAAATAAAAATCATTGAACCCAACTTTGACTTTGTTTATGAAATAAACATAAAAATGACAACCTTCCAGCCAAATTTGTAATCTACACTCATAAGTGACAAGAGACAGGAAACAACTTCTAAAACTCACCTAAGTAATCCTGTGGGAGAGAGACATCCCTCAGCCTGCTACAATGGGAACCAAAGGAGGATGAGATATTTCCTGGCTCTATAGAATGAGAATTCCACAGAAGGTCTCTGGCTGGTTGAGCGGACACCCAGGTAGACTCGAAGGCTTCTGATCCCAACTCTGACTGTTTGGTATATCCAGGTTGGGGGACGCAAGCATAAGTGCTGTTAAACGGCAATGAAGATGGAGAAGGATCACCTTGAAAAAATTTATAAGATTCTAGTGCAGAATTTCTTCCTATAGACTCATCGATAAAACCTGTATTCTTAGCATTATTCTCAAAGAAATCATATTGCTTAAAAGCTTCTGGCATCTGAGGACTGAGATGTGGGGTTGAACGCATCCCAACAATAGCATCAACATTTTTAGAGGTGGTCCAGTCACCTAGTTTGGATACAGTGCTTGGAGAACAACCAGGATAAGTTTGAAAACTTGATAGACTTGTGGCAGGTTGAATTTGGGAACTGCTGCTTTGGGGCCCAACTGCTTCCAACAGTTTATTGGCGACCTCTCGGGAATCAAATTTAGATTTAGCTCTTGTCTCTGGATTACCTCCAATTCCAAGGGTTAAAAAACTTCCGTCCACTTGTCTTGGATGGAAGGCATTTACTTTGACATCATTTCTAACTCCAGATTCAAGAAAGCTTGTATTTTGGTGTGACAAGGATGCACCACATCCTAAATTTAAAGAACTCTCACTAATCTGTGACCAGTTTACGGTACTACCTTCTGCCTCTCCTCCCAGAACATTCATTTGGTAATCTCCAGCAGCTTTACTCCCAGTTGGCAAAAAATTTACGTTAGCCTGAGTATTCTGAACATCTACATTCCTCAAACTACCTGAAATAACCATATTACTTTAGTTAATTAACCTACATCTTTTCTAATTTTCCTTCAGGATAGAAACTTTCAGAAGCTCTGAGATTGCCAAGGTACATAATCACATTACCTCCGAGACTGTGCAAATTAAGGTTGTCCTGACTTTGCAAGTTGTCAAGCCCCATTAGACCAGTCATCCAATGGCTACCATTTCTAAGGTCATGTGGGTAAGAATGATGGGTTGCATGCATGTCATTCCAAGCAGAATTAGCCAGAGATACATATGGGAATGAAAAGTCAGCAGAGCCCGTACAGCTTGGAAAATTCTGACCACAGTCAACAGTTCCACCTTCCCTACTGGCAAACATACATCCACCATCACCCTGCAATGGCATAGGTGGATATTGCTCATCATTTGGCTTGTCAAATCCCATCATTAGTTTCAGAGTGGAGAGACAAGTCAAGAGAGTGATGTCTACCAGTCTAACTCTGCAAAATGACACAGTAGAATGTCAATGCAAAATACCCAGCACCAGCAAACATACAAGCAAATCTCTAAACTGACCAAGATTAGTAGAAGCTGACAGTTAAAGGGAAAAGACCAAGCATAAGCAATTTCTATAGGTGAACACATCAAATCTCATTTCTCAAGTAATATGTGCAAAAAGAACTTGAAATGGAATAAAGGGATAATTACATCACATTTGCAAAATCGGAAAGTAGGTGGACACTATCTCGCCAGCGATTAACAAATCCTGGCATAATTCTTGCTGAATACTCCAATTTAACAAAAAGCACACAAACCTAAGATCTAATAAAGAGAAAGTCCTAAACCACCTTGTCTGAACAGTGATTGTGCCCGTTTATTGCTCAAATCAATAAATCCCGTCTAAGTACCCAAAAAAAAAGGGAGGAAAAAAGGGTATCAGCAATTCGTTTGTATGCATATAGGTAAATACAGTATCTCCCTGAATAACATTTTCATCAGAACCAAGAAATGAAATAATTTGCTGGTAATATTTGTGAGTCCCAATAATGAGAAATCGGATGGAAACCACCCAGCAAAATTTGAGCTCAAACATTTCGAGAAAGAACCAAAAAAAAAAAAAAAAACCACCATCTGTGCGCAAGATATACACAGCAAACAGATGAATACAACCTCCAATTCTAGAAAAGCCCTAAACCCTGTTGCGATTAATATCTTCCAAAATTGTTGTAGACTTCCAAAAGCCCAGCGATGCCCACAGTTAATGGTTACGATAATCAAGAAACCACACCAAAAGCACTAAAAGAATTACAGAAGTCTAAAAATTCCATCATCCAACAACCAAAAAAGAAAAAAGAGAAAAAAAAAAAAAAGGCACCGAACACATTAAATACAGGACAGGCAAAAAATAAAGCTTAAATAAGAATTTTTTTTTAAAAAAAAAAAGAAGAAAAGCTCCAAATTAAAATCGAGAACTAAACCCATATGCATATAGAAATGTTAAAAACAAGTACCAGTTGCTGAAGTGGAGGTACCAGTTGATGATGGAAACAGATGATCGGAGAAATTTCAAAGAAGCGATTTTTTCTAGAGAGAGAAAGTGAAGGGGTTTTTGAGAGATTTTGGGGGTTGTGACTTGAGAGTGGCCTGGGGTTAGGGGAGGGGAGGGGGAAAGGTGGGGGTTTTTTTTTTTGGCGCTTAGGGCTCTAAGAGAGTTTTAAAGGGTTCGGTTGTAGGGCCCACTTTTGCAATTTTCTCCGTTACACGTGTAACAAAGAGAGGAGCCATCTGGGGCATCGCGGGTTGAGCTCCTCGATGATGTGGCAGTGCCGGTAGCTTGACCGGCTGTGACAGTTTGATGAGTGACGAGCCTATAATGGCACGACATTTGGTCATTGTTGGGGCAATATTGTCATTGTGATGGAATGCCCAAGGGCTTTTATGGAAGTCTAGCATGCACGTACGCATAACATGGCGTGACGAGAACGCGGAGTTACAGAACCGGAGGCTTGGAAAGAAAGGGTGCTCGTTATCGTCCGGTAAATTTTCCCGCCACCGCTAGGCTTGTTGGCCAATGGCTTGAATTGCCTTTTGATGAGCTTGAATGCTAAACAAAATTCTCCTTCTTTATTATTATTATTTTTTTGGTATTTTGTTGCCTAATCCCTCATTCGTAGCATGGTAAAGCATGAAAAGGAAAAGATCAGTTGGCATGGTACCATACTTTTTTCTTGGGTAGATTTAGAAAATGGACAAATAAGATTTGGGTACGTACTGGTCCTTGCATCATTAATTGCAGCACTATTACAAGATTAGTGAGTGATGGGTGATGAGTGGTGACCTGGTTTGTGTCTCTGCTTATCCTCGTCAAAAGTCATGGTGAGTCAATGAGAAGTGGAAATGTACAAACATGGTGGGTTAAAAAAAGGTATAAAGTGTCCCATCTGCCCAAAGTTTATTTGAAAGACAAAGCATAAACAATGGCTGTGAAATATCTTCACCTGTAAGCAAAAACCAGGACTCAGTAATTCAAGCTTTTCACAATGGAAAGCGAAAATTTGAGGAATGTGTGCCATGGATGCTAATCTCTCAGGAATAACATCCTTCTTGTTCACAACCTCAGCATACACCAGACGAGGATTTTCCCTTTAGAAGACAGTAGCAGATCATAATGGAAGAAATAGAGTTACAGTGGGAAAAAGAAAGAGAAAAGAAAGGGTAAAGAATGAACTTCCAGTGGGAACCAAAGGTACTTCTAAGTTTCTGCAAATTGCATTGCCCGGGCAAAAAGAAAAGTTCTGGGGAGGGATGAGTTTTGTAGTGTTACTGGGAAAAAATTACAAAACCTCCGCTCAGCAGGTGAGGTCCTATGGTCAGCTGGATGCAACTCAGTCTATCAATAGGGTCATCGATAGCAACCTCCAATTACAGTGGGAAAAAGAAAGAGAAAAGAAAGGGTAAAGAATGAACTTCCAGTGGGAACCAAAGGTACTTCTAAGTTTCTGCAAATTGCATTGCCCGGGCAAAAAGAAAAGTTCTGGGGAGGGATGAGTTTTGTAGTGTTACTGGGAAAAAATTACAAAACCTCCGCTCAGCAGGTGAGGTCCTATGGTCAGCTGGATGCAACTCAGTCTATCAATAGGGTCATCGATAGCAACCTCCAATAAGATTAATGTCGAATTCTCCATCATTAGTCTCCTTTTACATGCCTTCGTTTATTTAGGAAGAGGACAAAACCAAAAGCTGCCGCCATCCCGACAAAGTACCCAGCCAAAGCTCCATAGCTCACACAAACCGGCCAGTCCTACAAACAAATTCAAATACTTTCAGTCTCAGGGTACAAAGCATGACAACTGAACCACATGCTGCAAACCAAGGCTGAACAATATCCAACAGTTAGAATCTAATTGCCAAGCTCGAACATATATGGTCAAGTACATTTACCAAAACCATTGCAACTAACATGACCTAGGAGATTATGCTTGGAACAATATATCAACACATCACTACATCATGGAATTATCAGAACCACATCAGGACTACTATGCGTAAACCCTCACCATCTCTCCAGTGCTTTTCAAGACTCAATTTCATGTGCAGGGTCTAAAATTCATACTAAGGCAATGTTAATATGGCATCTTTATATGAAAAGGCAAAGTGAACAACAAGAATATCAGAGCCAACACAACAATCTAACCATGAAAGCTAAGCATCAATTATTGAATTGTCAACAGGGAACCCTGACTATATCATACGCTGCATTAACATATCAAGTTCCATACTTTACTTTTGTGTTATTTTGGAGAATGTAACAAGAGAAGATTTTTTGGCCATGTGATGGTAGACCTCAGGGCACTCCTGAAGGTATCAATGGTTTCTGAGCCACTCTTACTACTAAGTTCTTGATGAACAAACTCTTGATGTACACAGTAAGAAAAGAAGAAGAAGAAAAAAAGAGAGAGAGAGAGAGAGAGTCAAAACATCTAAAGCAGAATCTTGAGATGAATGACAAATGATGTTTCAGTACTTTTCACTTTCAAGAGCATTAATTCGGATTGCCAAATTAAAAAAAAAAACAAAAAAAAGGGATTCTGATAAACATAGTGTACCTAGCATCTTGCAAAACTTTGAATCCTCGCTATCATTATTCAGGGGGCTTATCATGTTATGCAAATGTGATGTGATGATATAGTTATACAATCTAATGATATGAAACTGGTGCTTTAGCTTGCATGCTATGCAATTTCAAACGAAAAGCATTGCATGCGGGCACCCCATATGTGGGAAGGAACAGAAAACTGTCAAAGGATAGGATTTGATTAGATGGTAGGCAAAGCTAATATGAATGAAGTTGAGTTGAGTATATCACAAGGACTTGAAAATAGGGGTTCGTGGTTTCAATCTCTTCTAACTTGTAAACACGAAGATTAGTCTAGTAGGAACGTAGGTAGAGGTCTTTTCCGTCTCATCTGTTCTTAGAATGGCCATAACTCAGTTGTGATTTTGAAGGAAATATGCAACTCTTGATCTAATAAACTGAAGACAGGAATCGAGGGAATTTAAATTTAGATGAAAAACTCTTAGCTACTAGAAGATGTACGAGTGATTGGTGACTCTTGGTGCTTGTTCACTAACTTAAAAAGGCCAACAGTGAAATAACAGCACCGATAATATGGTGAAAAGAACATTGAACAATGGTCAATTCATCTTCGTGATGACAGCAACTGTTAGACATGAGATATGATGGTAGAATTTTCAATCAACAGGTAGTTTAAACCTCATGCATAAACTCCATATTGAAGGTAAAGGATATTTGTTTGGTTGAGATAGTTTAAGTTAGATTCCTTAATCATATCTACTAATCATGTAGCGAGCTTGTGTATTTTCGATCATACGACGTGAACTTATTAGTCCATTGCCCGGTAGCTGCAAGCCTAACCATGCGTGTGGATGAAATTTATTATCGAAATTTTCAGCAGTGGATTTGTTATACTTTAGGGAAAAAAATTAAAATAAAAAGTTCCCAATTAACAAAAACACTTCAACTTTCTGCATCTCCAGATGACGCCATGTAGTAATGCATGCCATTAGATGAAAACTAACATTTGTTTTTAAATGGGAGGTTTTGAATCTAGAACCATCTACTTATAATTTCTCACACCTTATAATTTGGTTAACTCATTTATACCTAATTAAATAAATAGGTACGAAACGAATATACCCAATTACCCATTTATGAATCACTTATAATTCAACTTTATATTTTTTTTTCACATGTTGTTTGACAAGAAATAATGATATTTTATTATTATTAGATTTATATTAAATTCAAATTTATTTGTTTAACACTCATTAAAAGTTGAGTTTAAATGTATAATTATTTTTACATGAATATAAATGGATGAGTCGAGTTAACTTATTATCCACCAATTAAATGGGTACCTATTTAGACCCATTTAAAATTAGTGGCCGGCTTATTAGTGGGTGGGTTTGGATGAATCAACATAATGAGGTTATGATTGACACCTTTGATTACGTTCATTCAAATTACCGTCCAAATCCTAGCCCAGTTGATTAAGAATATCTTCATTTGGTCGTTCAAGCATCATAGCCGTCTCTGGGATTCAATTCTGCTGTTGGTTTTCAGTCTAATAAATTTTAGAACCCCACATGATCATTCACTCAAGGTTGGTCAATAAATCAAATGTGTTTCGAATTGAATGAAACGTACTTGTCTTTCAATAACAAACTACTAGTTTGGAAATTCTTAAGAGGGTTGAAAATGGTTGCTTGATATGACTGGGCAAGCTTCTTTTAATAATAGAACTAATAAGATGCTATTGGCGTTGCGGTTCAGCACATGAGCTAGTTTCTCTGCTGAATAATTGCCAAGCACAATTGTTTTGGGCTGTCATTTTTACCACTTTTTACCTACTTTCCAGCAAGAATAGTAATGTTCTTTATTTTGCATGCTTGTTGATTAATTCTTTAATTGACCACATATAGCATGCATTTAACTAAGTAGGGGTGTAGGGGGTAATCCTCATCACTTCACACCTAGAAATGAATCAATGGGGCAGAGGAGCAAAAGTTTGATTTTTATGGTATCAGACCTGTACTATTGTACTTAGTTTCAGCATTGAATTGTTACTGTCCAGGTAGATTACAACTTTTCAACACTATCACTTGCCACTGCTGGAAGTAATATAAGTTTGTAAAATCAGTTCAGAACAAGGCCTAAATTGAAATTTTAGAAGCTATGTATAAATGTAAGAAAAGGTTGATTTGATGCAAGACAATTTCTCATTTCTATTTGATAATTTTTGGGAAGTATAGGTAAATCGAGTTGTAAGAGCTATGCGTGAAGATAAGAAAAGGTTGATCTGAAGCAAGACAACTTTTTGTCTATTTTGATAACTTTTTCGCCACTATACATTTTCTGTTGGCTACGTATTTAGCAAGATGCTCCTTCATTTGACAATTATTTGTAGCAATTATATATAGAATAGGAGGCTCATCCCTCCCCACCCCCACCACCACCCCCACCCGAATTACATATAGCATAGATATCAAATTGGAATGTCAACCATTTTCTATCGTCCCCACTCAGCTCTTACCCAATTCAAACTGAAAGAGAGACATCAAAAAAAAGCTTGCCATGGTTTGGAGGTGCCAAATCTGTAAGACCGAATTTACAACAATGTCTCAGCTTGATGCTCACAAACCAAGTGGGATGTGTAGTAAGGTGAGTAAATGAAAGAAAATGATGATGGAAATTGAACCTCCAGCCCCCTCCCCCAACAAAAAAAAAAAACAAAAAAGAAAATTCACAAGGAAGGAAGGACGGTTCAAAGTGGATGGAGATTGAGAATTGAGGAGAAGAGGAAGAAGGGCAGGTATTTCAACTGACTGGAAAGTTAATGAATTCAGATTTCAGATTTCAGATTTTAAACTTCAATTTTCAGATTAACAATTCAATAAGTTAATGAATTCAGATTTCAGATTTTAAACTTCAGTTTTCAAACTTTAGGTTTATCAAACCTATCCTAAGTGCCTATTTGATAACATAAAAAAGTGCTGAAACTGAATTCATTCAGACATTCAGATGTTGTGGGTGTTTGATAAATAAAAATTCACCTGCTGAACTTATTAAGTAGTGCTGAATTTGTATGTATTTTTTTCAGCACAAGAATCGTAGCTGAATGCTTAATTTGATAAGAATCAAGAGATTTACTTCAACTACTTTATCTTATCTACCAAATATATCCCTGTTTGTTAATTACATTCAAAATCCTTATCTAATTAAACAATATAATATTCCCTATTCAAAATCCTTATCTAATTAAACAAAACAACCTGATATTCTTTATTCAAATTTTTTTTTTAACAAATTTTTTTTTGCAGTAATTTTCATCCACAAACATTTATATTTTGATATATATTTTTTTTGTGCAGATAAATATTATTTATGTGATGCAGCTTATCCACACACACGTGGCTTTATGACACCATATCGAAATATTAGATATTGGTTGTCTAATTTTCGAAATGCTTCTCGTCCAAGATCAAAAAAAGAACGCTTTAACCAAGCACATGCAAGATTGAGAAATGTAATTGAACGTGCTTTTGGAGTATTAAAAACTCGTTTTCCCATTCTCAAAAACGATGAAACCATACCCTTTTCCCACACAAAGAAACATTGTCATTGTATGCGTTGTTCTTCACAATCATTGTCATTTTCATACCTAACAATTTTAAGTTAATTAAATCATAGGTTCTATTTCCTTTTTGGATTAAAAGATAGAAGGGCAAAATTGTACAATTTAGCTTATTAAGCATTAAGTTATGAATATTTATCAAACAGTATAAATAGATTCAACATTAAGATTCAGCATTAAGATTCAGACATTCATATATCTCTTTTCAGTGTTTAAAATTCAGCAAATTAATTATTTCAGTATTCAGAATTCAGAATTCAGAATTCAGAATTCAGATTCAGTGTTATCAAACGGAGCCGTGAATACCCAAATTAGGAGCTCAAGATTAAACACAACTAGTGCTTTTAGCACATTCTATATATGTGCTTATTCTAAAAATCTATAATTAATTTTTTTCTTTCCACAGTAAGCTATTATACGTATAGAATCATTTAGAGCATATATGTGCCTTTTTTTTTCAAATCTATAAATACTACTCTAATTTTTTTTAAGGCAGTCATTGCATATAAAATCATGGTAAAGAACAAGAGGGGTTGTGAATAGCTGTGTTTGAGAATTGAGATGACTAGAGAAAAGAAGGAACTTAATAATTCAAAAACTAATTTTAGAGGTTACTTTTGGTATTTAACATTAAGTGACATGCATTGTTTACACCAAATGGGAGGCCCTCCCCCCCGAGACACACAACACCTCCCCAAAAAAATTATATATAGTATGGATAACCAAATTAGAATCTCAACCCACTCAGCTCTTACCCCAATTCAAAGTGAAAGAAATAAATAAGAAAACAAGGAACAGATCGCCATGACTTGTAGGTGCGAAATCTGTAAAGCCAAATTTGCAACCATGTCCCAGCTTATTGCTCACAAGCCAAGTGGAATTTGTAGTACGGTTGTTATCAAAGTTTTAGATTGGCAATGCAACACCAACGGGGAACTGTTTGAGAGCCAGTCTGTGTTGCACAAACACAGACACCATGGCATTTGCTCCACGGTACGAGACATTTGTTGTCTTCTTCATTTCTTCCTTTACTAATAGGGGTAATTTGAGAAACCTCTCCTGAGGTTTTTGATAGCATTCTTAAAATTTTAAAAATATTACTTGCCTTCTCTATTTTTAAAATTTTGTAACATTTTCAATCCAATTCAAATTATATGATTAAAATACTCATTTAAGAAAGAGAAATAATTTATTTCCAATAATAATCATATGTTA